AGGTGCAGCGACCACCCCTGAAAATAGATCCGACCGTCCCGGATTGTCTCGGTATGCAATCCGGGCCGGTCACAATCAGACAGTAGCGGTCTCTTCACAGGCATATTAGACGGCCGCTTCCTCCTTGCTAGGACCACAGAAGGCCCCAGCGAGCGGCCGTCTATTATGCCTGTTTAGAGGCCGTTGCTGCCTGACCGTGACCTGCCCAGATCGCATACCGAGGAGAGTCGTGCAACTCCCACCCCTGAGAGCCGCACAGCCCCCCTAAGAGCCACACAGCTCCCGCTTGAGAGCTACACAGATCCCATTAAAAGCTACACAGCCCCCCTGAGAGCCATACAGCTCTCTGAGAGCCGCACAGCCCCCCCCAAGAGTCTGTACAGCCCCCCCCCTCGAGAGTCTCTACAGCTCCCCCTGAGAGCCACACAGCTCCCTGACAGCCCACCTTAAAGACTATACAGCCCCCCTGAGAGCCCACAAACATCTTAGAACTGCACAGCGCCCCTGAGATCCTGGAGACCGGTCGCCCCGGAGCAACACAGAGTATGCAGCCTTATATTTTTTTGCATTGTTGTTAAATGTATTGCTGGGGTTTGCAGTCCTCTATAGTTGGTGTTATTCTGCATTGCTGTATAATGTATTGCTGGGATATATCGTTTTCTATAGTTGGTAATATTCTGCATTGCTGTATAATGTAGTGTTGGAATTTGTAGTCCTCTATAGTTGTTGGTATTTTGCATTGCTGCATAATGTATTGCTGGGATATATAGTCTTCTATAGTTGGTGGTATTCTGCATTGCTGTATATTTTATTGCTGGGATATGTAGTCCTCTATAGTTTGTGGTATTCTGCATTGCTGTATAATGTATTGTTGGGATTTGTGGTACTCTATATAGTTGGTGGTATTCTGCATTGCTGTATAATGTATTGCTGGGATATTTAGCCCTCTATAGTTGGCGGTATTCTGCATTGCTGTATCATGTATTGCTGGGATATATAGTCTTCTATTGTTGGTGGTATTCTGCATTGCTGTATATTGTATTGCTGGGATATGCAGTCCTCTATAGTTTGTGGTATTCTGCATTGTAAGATAATATATTGCTGAGATTAGTTCCTTTACAGGTTGGAGTCAGTGGCAGAACTACCAGGATCACAGTGGTCACAGTTGTACTGGGCCTTGGTGCTCCGCCACTGACTCCAAGCTGTAGAGAGACTGTTCCCTTGCAGTGTGCTGCATGACATGTACCTTAGTAGCACACTGCGATGGAACACTTCACTCATTAGCACAGTACAAAGGTACATGTCACTCTGTAGTGTAGTTAAAACCTCTTGTATTGTATTTTTCTTCTAAGATTTATGAATTTATGAAAAAGTATTCGGGTCTAAGTGCAGGGTTGGCACATACTTTGGTTTAGTGATCCAGTTTGGGCACTCGGGCTCAAAAAGGTTTGCCATCACTGGGATAGAGCATGAAAACCTTAGAACCTCTGTCCATTTTCTCTTTGCGATTGGATTTCCTATCCTTCCTGTACCAGTGACAGTGTGTCAGCAGGGCAAGCAAGAAAGAAAAATCTCTTATAAGGGCACAATGAGCAAAACAAGTTATGTTTTATATTAGAGTTGTGGAAGGCTAATCCTATAACTAAAAATGAATATGTTGCAGCTTACCAGTTCTTATATGTGATGGCTGCATTAGTTTTCTTTTAAAAATACCCATTAATCCTGCCAGAATTCCAGTACCGGTATTTGTTTGGAACTGAAATGTATGGGAGGAGGTAATTTTAGTTCAAACCAGGAGAGCAGCCTAGGGTGACAACACTGCTGCTCTGTAGATACAGTGTAGTGAGTGTTGTCACCCCAGGCAGAAAATGTGCTAGTGGCAGGATCACCATGTGAAAAAAGTCAGAAATAAGGAAAACCTATGAAAAATTGTAAGGGCAGTCCAGAAGACCAGCGCTCCGAAGGGAGAATTCCACACACAAGTGTGTATAAGATTATGGGTGATGCTGGTGTGCGGCTTCCTGATGGTGTCCGGACCGGGGTGTCCGACATATGTAATAAAAAACAATAGAAAAGGGAAAGAGGGAAGCGCCACTAACCGGGAAGGAGTTGAGGTGGGCCAGGCCATGGAGCTTGGTTGGTTGTGAGGGTGGTCCGACTCACTTGATGAGGGAGGGAGCTGGTGTGCTCCTTCTCGGTATGGGTAATTGGGGATCACCGGGAGACACAAGGGGTACAAGCGAGAGGTGAGAAATAACAAATGATGGAAACACAGTTTGGAGTGTAGAAACTCACCATTGAGTAAGTAAGGATGCGTTCTCATCAGCGACGGTGGTGATGAAGCTCCTGATGATCGTGGTGAGGAACCGGGGAGGGTTCAGTGCCGGTGTTCTGGTTGTCCTTGAAGTGGGAGTTAGACTTCTTGGCTCCCTGAATGCTCAGAATGAACCTCGAGCGGGTGTCTGATGTGGCAGGGATTTTGGGTGCAAAGTCTTGAATGCTGGAGAGGAGGCAAAGTCTTTGTTGCGATACCCCCGCAGGGGGCATTTCTGAGCTTGAGCTGTGGCGTCATAATTTCTTAAACTTTTTTTTCTATTTGTTCGCATTTTCAATTTTTATTTATTTAACTTTAATTTTTAATTATTTGTCTTTTTTAATTTTTAACTTTATTTTTTTAAACTTTTTAAAAAAATGTTTACTTTATTGCTGGGAGCAATACCCAGCCTGCTATTGGTTATTTCAAATTGCAATAGCCAATAGCAGGCTGGCTATTGCATCTGCCTGCTGTCAATCAGCAAAGGAGGGGCCTGAAAGAGAAGTTTCATTTTAACCACTTGCTGTCCGGGTCATTTTCTTACTATTTGCGCACACATGATAAAATATACATTTCTGCGGAAATGTTTATCAAACCAGTATTTTTAGGAGAAAAATAAATTAAAATTTAGTGCACAGAAACAGAATATAATGCCCGATTCTTTGGTAAAATATGAAAGACAGGATCACGTCGGGTAAATAGATACCAAACATGTCAAGCCTTAAAATTGCGTTCGTCCGTGAAGTCGCAAAAAAAGTCAATACCCAACATTTCCCATAGGGAACTTTTAAACGCTTTTACCGCTCATCAGTTTAGTGCTAACAGTGATTGACAGCACTAGAATTATTGCCCTCGCTCCGACATTCACGGCGACATGTAACATGTGTAGCGCAATTGTCCTTTGCGCACGTAGACGCACCAACGCGTGTTTGCGTGTGTATGTGGGGGGCGGGGGACTTAATTTGTTTTTGCATATTTTTCTTTTTCTTTTATGTTACTTTAATTTTTATAACTTTTAAGCACTTTTTTTTTTTTTTTATAAACTAACCCTATTGTTATTGTATAGGGAGCTAACAAGCCCCCTATGTAATAGCAGATAGGGTGTGACAGGTCCTCTTTATGGAGGCATCAGGGGTTTTCAGACACCTAATGTCACCTAGGGACAGCTGAGGAAGCCGAGATCTGATTCCCCAGCTGAATCTCTCTCCGATCACTTCGGGGAGAGCCGCTCCTGGGCGCCGCACAGGGACAGCGGTGCCCAAGGAAGACCAGGGGGGTGCCGCTGCACGGTACAAACGATACAGCGCCTGTACAGACGCCGGATCGCTTGTACATTAACATCCATCGCCTGCTGTTAAAAGCAGTACCAGTGCTGCAGCAGCCCTGTTCTTGTTTTAACCACTTTAACGGGCCGCCGTCTATAGATGTATTGCGGCCCGGAAGTGGTTAAATAAAAGGTTGTTTTGTTTATTATATTGGCTTAGTTTTACAATCCACATTATTTGATGTCAATTAACCTAATTAAAATGTCTAATATAATACATACAAATATTAAAAAGATATATATCTACATATATATCTTTTTAATATTTGTATGTATATAAATAAAAGGTGGGAAAAGTCATTTTCAGTTTAGGCCTGACAAATTTTGCTGCAGAAGGTGTGTTGCAGTGCCATTCATTTCAATGGATCTCAAATGCACCTCCCGTCCCGCAGTGTGATCGCCCGCAGTGGAACGGGCGGTACTGAAATGCCCTCCGTTCCTGTGCGATATTAATTTTTTTTATTTTATCCGATTAATTGAAGTTAATAATCGGCTAACTAATCGATTATGAAAATAATCGTTAGCTGCAGCCCTAGACTGGAAAGCTGCAAAATAATACATTTAACATTTCTGAATTTACTGTAGATATGCTTTAAATTTTCTGTCTCTGATTTCACTACATTGCACTGACCCAGAACAAACATACTGCCAGTAGTCAGAGCTCCCGATCTGCATATTTGCTCAGGTCCATTGTTCAGAATGTATTGTAGCTATCAAAGTGGCATAACAACTAGGCATCTAACATTTTCTAAAGGACATGCCATCAATGACAGCCTTCTTTAGTTCCCTCAGTAGAGGTTTGCTATAAACCTGTGGCCAAGCTATGGACATTACATTATTTACATATCCTTAAGTTGTAGATGAGCTTTAAAAAAAAAAAAGCTCCCAATGATCCCTGTAGCTGCATGCCCTGTGAAATAATGTATCCTCAAAGTTCACAATAGAAGCACTGAAATCATTCAGATCCTTCTGTCAACAGCTCGTCTCAACTTGCTAACCATCCCCCGAACCTTACCAGCACTGATCTGGCAGTCTTCCAGCCTTTTAACCTTTTAATATAACACAAAACAGGTATTTTGGTCAGGGGTGCTGAGCTCCTAAGAGAGCTGACTTGGGTGGCTTCAAAGTTTCCCTTGTGAACTTTGAGGATGAATTGCTCCACAGCAACTGCAGCTACAGAGGTCAGTGAGGTATTGGTTTGAAGCTCATTCATGGCTTGTAGAGGATATGTAAATACCGGAGTGTGCATTACTTGGCCATGGGTTCACTTCACTCTTATGTGAAATCTTAAGAATGATTGCTATTATTGTTTCTATTGTCTTTGAATGCAGCCTGATTTTTTGTTGTTGTCTTATTTTGCAGCTGTTTGCCCAACAGATGAGCAGAACGAGATCTTACTGACTCAGGGTGATGGCTCAGAATTGGCATCCCCTATGTCACCACGGACCAGCAAAAGCCGGATGTCCATTAAGTTACGGCGCTCCTCTGGCTCTGCAAACAAGACCTAGTTTTTATCTTTGTCTTCAGCTTGTCCAGTTGAGTTTATTTATTCCTGGGCAATGGCCTCTGTGGGAAAAGGCAGGCACCACACATTCACTTTGGCTGTTGTGCTAAAATCATTCTCCCTGTGCTTTTTATCTTACTTTTTGTTTTTTTCACACTTCTATTTTATTTGAGTGAATAACACTGGACTTTTACATATAATTTAAGTTTTTAGCCTCAGACTCTGTGGTTTTAAAAATGTTATGTACAATGCAGGGTGCCATGTGTATATCTTTGCAGCTTTTATCATTCTATGACAATTATTTTTGTTTGTTTTTATGATGAATCTGGCTAATGTTACACAGGTATACTTTTGTTTTTACCTTACTTTTGCACCCTCAATGTTGTATATTTATTGACAATATTCTTGCCTATTATCATTTGAGGTTTCTTTTTTCAGCTGGATTTGTCTTTTCTTTGGACCATCATAAAAATATTCCATAGGAATCCAGTTTTAAAACAATATATATTATTTAGCAATATCTATATACAGTGGGGGGTTTTGTCTTTTACATAATATTTTTATACATGTATTATTTTATTATATATATATATACATAAATCTATACATATATATAAATATATATTCCTTTTACTGACCACTCGAGACGCCCGATCACTTGTATTACCAGCAGCTGTCACTGCCGTTGCCGGTCCTTAGATCCACTGTGCTCGATGCGGCCGGGACCGGCACGGCTCTGTGACAGGAGATTCAGTACACGATCTCACTTTGATCTACTCTCCAGTCCCGGAATGCAGGAAGTGATATATATTACATCACTTCCTACATAAGGCATCCTTTTTGATGGTCCTGTGTGCTTATGTAGAGGAATAGTGAAGGAGGTCTGTATTTCCTCTTCTAAGAGAGGGTCAACCCTTTCACAAGGAAGTGCCCTTTAAGGTTTTGTTATGCTTTTATATGCTAAAATTAACATTGATTAAACTTGTTGTGGTCACAACTGTGTTTTTTACACATGGACTTATATATGCAATGTATATTGTTAAAGCAACCCTGTCACTATAGAAAATTGTTTAAACTAAGGCATACCTTGAAAAAAAGACAGTTCATAATCACTTTATCAGCTGCCCCTGCTGCCGAACTACACTGTGATCCTGAGAAATCTCCCACAAAAAAACAACATTTCAGGGAGAGTTGATCTCCTGGGCCTTCTGCAGGAGGCAGTAAGAGCTGCCAAGGACCCAGTAGATTCAAAATCCTAGACGTGTTAGTTCCCCTTCAGACAACAGCAGAAGATTTCTCAGAAACGGAGTGGACTTTCACCATGTGGGCAGCACAAAATGTATCTCCTGTCTACTTTTCTAAATACTGTATGTGTTATTTTAATTTTTTTTTTTATAACAACAGGATCAATTTAATGCTGTGATTATACAAAAATGAAATGGTTAATATGAAAATCCTTATGAAGGTGGCCCTCTGTGACCCATTTGTACCTTTTAGCCAGACACTAAAGCCGCTGCCACGAACAGCAGCTATACCTTAACATTTAAGGGACAGACCCAGGCTCACCTAGAATACATTTAATTTGTCAATTGGGAAAGAGAAGTGTATTGCTAGTCTTGGTACTCTGATCTACTGGCGGAAAGATCATGTTGCAGAATACCTGATCTCAATAAGTGATAGAAGCTGCCCACACATTTAAAATTAGCCTTTGCTTAATCCTTGTAATTCAGATAACAGGTTCATTTTAATGACAGCCCCACCAGCTTCACATATTTACAGGGCTTTAAAAATCCACTTGTCCTCTCGTCTGTGACGAGAGGACGACGGGCAGCTTCCTGGACGGCCATTGTAATTACACGGGCGGCCAGGAGCTTTACATTCAATCGATCGAGCGTCTCGAGACGCCCGATCACTTGTATTACCAGCAGCTGTCACTGCCGTTGCCGGTCCTTAGATCCACTGTGCTCGATGCGGCCGGGACCGGCACGGCTCTGTGACAGGAGATTCAGTACACGATCTCACTTTGATCTACTCTCCAGTCCCGGAATGCAGGAAGTGATATATATTACATCACTTCCTACATTCAATGTCACTTTCCAACTACAGAAGCTGATGAAGCAGATCTCTGCTTCATCAGCTTCTCTGGGGGTCCCTAGGTGACATTAGGGGTCTTAGAGACCCCTAATGTCTTCATAAAGTCATGTAAATTGTCTACCTGTCATGTAAATTGGCTATCACATAGGGGGCTTCTTAGCCCCCCATTGTGATAGCAATAAAGTTGTGTAAAAAAAAAACGTTATACAAAAATTAAAGAATCATTAAAAAAATAAAGAAGCATTAAATGAAAAAAGAAAAAAAAATTTTAAGTCCTCCGCCCCCACATACACATGCAGATATGCGTCGGGTACGCCTACGTACAAAAACAACGAATTCGCCTATAGTGCCGCACATGTTACATATAACCGCGAATGTCGGAGTGTGAGCAATAATTTTAGGGCCATTAATTATTGATAACACTAAACTGATGAGCGGTAAAAGCGTTTTAAGCGTCGCCTATGGCCAATTTTCAGTGTGGTCGGTTTTTGCGGGCGCACACAATTTTAAGGCTTGACATGTTTGGTGTCTATTTACCCAACGTGACCCCGTCTTTTGTGTTTTACCAAAAATATGGGTGAGAATAGATGTTTTATAACATAACGTAGGGAAAATTTGTTTTGTTTTTTTAATTTACTGTACTTTTTTCATTATGTAGTAAAAAATAACCCTAACTGGTGAGACACCGTAAACTTTTTCAAGCCCTGCATATTTACATTCCTATACCTGCCCACCACTGTCACCAGTGGGATTTAAAAAAAATAGTCATGACCTGGTGCTTACATGTTCTCAATACTCAGAATTGTAAAGGTGTTTTTTTTTCTTCAATTGCAGGGAAGCAAAGGGAAGTTGAGTATGTTTTGCTGGTGGGTACTCTGTTAAAGTGAACCTGCTAATATTCTCTGCATAGGCAAAGTATACATTTGCTTTAGGTGGGACCAAGATCTGGTTGAAAGGGAAATTAAGATGCAAGCTGGTGGTTCCGCAATGCACTTAAACAGGATCTCCAATTCTCTCTTTCTATATTAGCTTGGAGGTACCCTCTAAAATATATTTCACCTTCTCAAGATATGCCAAAGGACTGAGCACAGATTGATGACATTTCACTATTACAATGAAGCTAGTCATATATAAACTTGTTTTTTTTGCTTGAAGCTCAAAATAACAGTTTCAAGACCTGATATGTGTGGGAAAAAAGGGCAGAAATTACTATATACTTCACCTATTTGGAAATTTCCAAGGTATCCCCTGTTGTTTTGACACAGTAGAGCCCAGTGTCACATTCACCTAGATTGGCTCACAGCATTGTTCTTCTGGGGTTGGGTCCTTGTGAGGACGTAATCTTAAGATTTCATATACAGCCAGCTTTAGTGAATCATTTTATTTTCTGCCATTCCTGCATTATTTTATATTTTATTTATTTTGTCTTTTTGTAACATTGCTGACCACTATTTCTTACATATGCCATGTCACGCTTCTCTTAGGCCATGAATATTCATATGGTTGAATGCTTTCATTTGTGTCACAAGAAAATGTAAACTCCCTTTTCATTAAAATATTTAATGTCCTGTTTTAACATCCACGTAAAAATGCTTGGGCCATTCATAAAATGTGTTGATGTTCAGATTTGTGACCCTCTGGCCAAGGCTCATTTTCCTTGGATCCATGCTGCTAATACTGGAGTTAAAGAAGAACTCTAGGCAAACATTTTTCTAAACCTTGCAGTGGGCTACCACTGCACTGCACAAGGGTTAACTGCTCATTTTTATCTAGGGGCTGAGCCTGATTGCTCTAAGGTCCTATAAATCATCACGGTCTATACACAGTGAATAGACATGAGGATGCTGAGTAACAATCCAATGCTGCAGGATAGGAGGAGAGAGGCTATAGAGACCGGCTTAGCAGTTTGGGTGAGTATAACTTCTTTTTTTTTTTTAGCACCTAAACGAGCAGTTAAGGGGGAATCCCCACTGCAAGGGTTAATACGTTTTGCCCAGATTTTTTCTTTAATGATAATGTATGTGGTTTTTTTTTTCATTTATTTTGGTTTCTCTGGGTACTTTGAGTTTGAATTGTGTCAGTACCATTATCTGCAGTTGAAATTTCAGCCCAACAGTTTGAATACTACACTATATTGCCAAAAGTATTGGGACGCCTGCCTTTACATGCACATGAACTTTAATGGCATCCCAGTCTTCATCCATAGGGTTCAATATTGCGTTGACCCACCCTTTGCAGCTATAACAGCTTCAACTCTTCTGGGAAGGTTGTCCACAAGGTTTAGGAGTGTGTCTATGGGAATGTTTGACCATTCTTCCAGAAGCGTATTTGTAAAGTCAGGTACTGTTGTTGGACGAGAAGGCCTGGCTCCCAGTCTACGCTGTAATTCATCCCAAAGGTGTTCTATCGGGGGTGAGGTCAGGACTCTGTGCAGGCCAGTCAAGTTCCTCCACCCCAAACTCACTTATCCATGTTTTTATGGACGTTGCTTTGTGCACTGGTGCGCAGTCATGTTGGAACAGGAAGGGGCCATCCCCAAACTGTTCACACAAAGTTGGGAGCATGAAATTGTCAAAAATGTCTTGGTATGCTGATGCCTTAAGAGTTCCCTTCACTGGAACTAAGGGGCCTAGCCCAACCCCTGAAAAACAACCCCCCACCATAATCCCCCCTCTACAAACTTTACACTTGGTACAATGCAGTCAGGCAAGTACCGTTCTGGCAACCGCCAAACCCAGACATGTCCATCGGACTGCCAGACAGAGAAGCGTGATTAGTCATCTCCACTTCTCTAGAGTCCAGTGGCAGCGTGCATTACGCCACTGCATCTGACGCTGTGCATTGCACTTGGTGATGTAAAGCTTGGATGCAGCTTGGCCATGGAAACCCATTCTATGGAGCTCTCACTGTTGTTGTGCCAATCTGAAGGCCACACGAAGTTTGGAGGTCTGTAGCTATTGACTCTGCAGACAGTTGGTGACTTCTGCGCACTGTGTGATTCAGCATGCGCTGCCCCCGCTCTGTCATTTTACGTGGCTTTCCACTTCATGGCTGAGTTGCTGTTGTTCCCAGTTGCTTCCACTTTTTTATAATACCACTAACAGTTGACCGTGGAATATTTAGTAGCAAGGAAATTTCACGGATGGACTTATTGCACAGGTGGCAACCTATCACGGTACCACACTTGAAATCACTGAACTCCTGAGAGCGACCCATTCTTTCCCAAATGTTTGTAGAATCAGTCTGCATGCCTAGGTGCTTGATTTTTATACACCTGTGGCCATGGAGGTGATTGGAACACCTGAATCCAATGATTTGGAGAGGTGTCCCACAATGTACATCATTGGGTTGCGCTGCTCTGCAACACACATCCATCAGCAAGATGCAATGGGGTGCAAT